TTGATTACTTCCAAGCAGTTGAGATGGCTATACTCCAAGGCGCCAAAGACTACCCCTACGAAGTCGGGGATGTAGAGGCTCTTCTCAGAAGAACATTTACTGCGGGGTTGCCCACTTGGCTACGTCATCAGCTGCTCCTTTTGGACTTCACAACCACCAGCCAGATGGCGCAAAAATGTCAGGCGGCATGGGATGCCACCGTTGGCATCAAGACATTTCTACCCACAATTAGGAGTGCATCACATTCAAGTTATGGGCTCTACCCACCACAGTCAGTGCACCAAGGACAGCCACTGCCACTAGGATTTGCGTCTCCAGTGCAACATGCTGAGGGAGTTACACCAGCATTGGAGTTTTATAGTGATGGACCTCTACACCTGGCCCCGACACTTCTAACTAGCAAACAGGTTGGCACGGTGCAACAGATTCCCCGACAGAAGCATGTCATGTTTGATTCGCCACCCAGTCAGCAACAGATGGATGGTCCTAGTCCTTCATGGTCGCGCCATAATAACTCCATAGGACTGCACCCGGACTCTGTGCTGACCCATCGAACCTGTGTTGCAACAGGAGTTTACTTTCCAGGAGACATCCTTCTGGGTATGGATCTGCTTCATCGTCTTTCATTTCGACTCGTACATTCGCCGACGTCGAATTTATTAGAAATAGATGGATACCATCATCAGATCACATCTACCGGTGAGGAATCAAAATGTTTGCATGAAGCCCCAGCTGAAGAGGACCATGGCAAGCATAACCAGAAAATCCAGTGCATTTCCCCTGTGCATGTTGCTGAGCGAACTGTAGTCCCAGCCCAATCAGGATACTTTGTCCCAGCAAATTTGACTCGAGGTGTACCGTCTGATGCCCGTTTCGCTATTATAGAAGGCAACGCTACCTGCTTGACGGTACCAAGGACCCTCATCTCTGTCCACGAACAGAGGTCTAGTGTTTGGGTCGTGAATACAGACCTGAAAGCAAGGAAAGTTTCCCCAGGTACGATACTTGGCTATACAGAAATTGTGCAACTCGAAGAAGTCATGAGAGCAGATGATCACGTTACACGGGTTTTAGACGTTAGTGACTGCAGTGATGAAAACGCTCTGCTCCCCTATAAGGAAGTACAGGATCATAGACTTTTAATGCAGCAGCACTTGTCTGTGATACAGATTGTGACATTCATGATGAGTATGATGATGATGGTTGCCACGACGACTTACTATACAGTGCACAGGACTTCTTTATCTTCCCAGAGACCCCAGCGCTTGATGAAGCATTGCAGAGAGAGATGCGTACTGAAATTCCCAACACTTCTAATGCCGCTACTTGGTCCTTGCCGGATGTAGTTTCCCACTCATTTCCAGATGTGCCTTTGGAACATCTCACAGGTGATATGAAGAAACAGTTGACCGGTACTGCAGGAGTTTCCTCAGTTGTTTTCTGGAGATGAGATGACGGTGGGAGAAGTTCCAGGGATAGCGCATCGGATAAGAACGACCACTGATACCCCAATCTGCACACGGCAATGGAGACTCCCTCTATCCA